GTTTTCTTTCCTTGATGTGTCTTTGTCTAGTTTTGATATCAGGGTGATATTAGCCTCATAGAATGAGTTTGAAAGTGTTCCCTCCTTTTCTATTTCATGGAATACTTTGTTCTTCTTTGAAGGTCTTGTAGAACTTGGCTGAGAATCCATCTGGTCCTTGGCTTTTCTTGGTTGGTAGGCTTTTGATGGCGTTTTCTATTTCATTACTTGAAATTGATCTGTTTAAAGCATGTATGACCGCCTCATTCAGTTTGGGTAGGTCATATGTCTCTAGAAGTCTGTGGATGTCTTTGATATTTTCTATTTTAGTAGAGTATACATTTTCAAAATGTTTTCTAATTATCAAGAATGGCTATATTTGTGACATAAATTTTATTTGATATAAATCTTGTTTTACATGTTTTAAACTTATTATATTTTGAATATTTACCCATGCTTCTCCAGTTCAATACCTAGTATTTCATAGCATGCACTCATCACATTTTCTGTTTCCTTAGTGAGGAACATTTGAGTTACTCAAATTCCCTCTACTGCAATCAATACTGAGATGAACTTCTTTGAACCTCATGGGATTTGAACTTATTTTTCTAGGGGCATCTGTCCAACAGTGAGACTTCTGAATCACAGGGTGAACACATACTTAATTTCATTAAAGATTATCAGATTGTTTTCTAACCAGCGGTACACAAGGGGTACTCTTTCTCCAAGTCTACACTAATATTTGATATTACCTGAATTTTATTTTTTGCCAATCTGATAAGCATGAACTGGTATCTTGTTTTAATTCACACTTCTCTGATTACTATTTAGCTCAACTATTTTTATTAGTCATTCAGATTGATCTCCTGTCTACTATCTCACCTCTCCATGGTGAATGATTCAAATTTATAGTATTACCTGGTTCTTTTTCTCTTTTCCTTTTATCTTCTCTCCTTTCTTCCTCTCCCCTGTCCTTTGCTCCCCTCCTGTGTCCTTCTCCTCCCTCCCTTCTTTTTTTGAGATGGGGGTGACGGGTGTCTCATAGTGTTGCCCAGGTTGGCCTCAAACCCCTGGGACCAAGTGATCCTCTTACCTCAGCCTCCCAAAGAAGCTGGGATTATAGGCATGAGCCACTGTGCCTGACCTATTATTTTTCTATAGAGGTCCTTGTTTATTATTATGGATTTTGGATGGCACTGACCCTAGAGTTTTAGAAATGTATAGGGATTTATTTTGGGGGTTCTTCTAGAATAGAAGCAATAGAACATATTGATTGCAAGTTATTTCAATACAAATTCCTTTAAAAATTATATGTTCATGTTTTATCTTAAAAAAATAAATGCAGAGGAAGTTTATTTTACCTATGGAGTCTTACTTCAGAATAGTAAAAAGGACTTCTGTAATTTGGATCTTAAGTGTCCCCTAATGCTCCATCTGTTATAAAGGCTAGTGCTCACCTTGGTGTTATTAGGTGGTGGAACCTTTAAGAGGTGGTGCTTAGTGGGAGGCCTTTTAGGTCATTGGGGTGTGCCTTCAGGGGGCATTGTGGTACCACCATTTTGGTAAATTAAGACCAAAATAAGTATCCAAAAATAAATGTATTGTCATTTAAGATTTTTTTTTTTAAAAAGAAGGGCATTGTGGGACCCTGGTTTTTTCCTTTTCCTCCCTTTCTCTTTCTGGTGAAGAGGTGAGCAGTTTTTCTCCCTGATGCCCTCCCCATCGTTACCATCCCCCAAAGGCCTAAAAACAATGAGTCTGCCTGATCTTAGACTGGAACCTAAAAACTGTGAGCCAAAATAACCCTTTTCTTTTTATGAACTAATTATCTCAGTTATTTGTTAGAGTAACAGAAAGTTGACTAATACAAGAATACAAAGCTTTTGTTAAAAACAGTTGTGGGGAAGATATTGGGTGTCTTTAGGCTGAGAAATAATTCAGATATTGACCTTTTGTTGGCTTTTGATGTTTCTAAAAACTTTGTATTTTAATCATCTACTTGTTAATTTTTATCTATGTTGAGATGTATTTCATATATAGTATAGTTCACTCATTTCAAGTGTATAATTGAGTGGGTTTGGTTTACTACATTGTTAATTTTTAAAAATTGTAGTATAATTGACATATTTGCCATTTTCACATTTTTAAATATATTACAGTGAAATTGTATTCATCATGTTGGGCATCTGTCACCAACTCCTGTTTCTGAATATTTCCATCAATCCAAACCAAAATTATTTAACCATTAAGCAATAATTCTCCACCCTGTCAACTTGGCAGAATCTATTTTGTCTCAGGAATTTATGTATCCTAGGTACCTACATAAGTGGAATCATACATTATTAGTCCTTTTGTGTCTGACTTATTTTACTTCTCAAGGTTCATCTAATAATGTGTAACAGAACCTCATTCATTTTTATGAACTATCAATATACCATTGTATGTGTATAGCACATTTTGTTTTTCCACTTTTTTAATTGCATGATACAATGAACACTGGCATCAAGTACTTGAGTCCCTAGGAATGGAATTGTTGGGTCATAAGAATATGAGCTTACAGTGAAAATCAGTCAATCAATTAATGGGGCAAGAGAAACATCCCTTACAGATGTTAAAGGCTAAGCCCTTGAAATATGTTAATCTGCATAATTGGGAAAACTCTTCCTTTACAGCATATGTTTTAGGCTGACAAATGGCCAAGAGCTTTTATCCTATTATTACCAAAAACTTTTGCAGATTAAGAAACATCAAGGGGCTGGGGTTGTGGCTCAGAGGTAGAGCACTCACCTAGCATGCGTGAGGCCCCGGGTTCAATCCTCAGTACCACATAAAAAATAAAATATAGGGACTGGGATGGTGGCTCAGTGGTAGAGTGCTCGCCTAGCATGCATGAGGCACTGGGTTTGATCCTCGGCACCACGTTGAAAACAACAAACTAATGTATCCACCTAAAACTAAAGATACATAAATAAATAAATATTAAAAAAATAATATATATTGGGTCCACCTATAACTAAAAAAAAAAAAAACAAACCCAACATCAAGCTGGGCGTGATGGTGCATACCTGTAATCCCAGCCAATTGGGAGGCCGAGACAGGAGGATCGCGAGTTCAAAGCCAGCCTCAGCAAGGGCAAGGCCCTAAGCAACTCAGTGAGACCTGTCTCTTTTTTTTTTTTTTTTTTTTTTTTTTTTTAAGAGAGTGAGAGAGAGGAGAGAGAGAGAGAATTTTTAATATTTATTTTTTAGTTCTCGGCAGACACAACATCTTTGTTGATATGTGGTGCTGAGGATCGAACCCGGGCCGCACGCATGCCAGGCGAGCGCGCTACCGCTTGAGCCACATCCCCAGCCCGAGACCTGTCTCTTAATACAAAATTGAGCTGGGGATGTGGCTCAGTGGTTGAATGCCCCTGAGTTAAATCTCTGGTACCCCCCCCCCCCAAAAAAAAAAAGAAACATCAATTTGTGGCTCAGTGATAGAGCTTTTGACTAATTTATGTGAGGCACTGTGTGTTCAATCTTCAGCACCACATAAATAAAATAAAGGTATTGTGTCCACCTACAACTAAAATTAAAAAAAAATATTTTATATAAAGGAAACATTGGGCTGGGGTTGTGGCTCAGTGGAACAGCACTTGCCTAGCACGTGTGAGGCACTGAGTTTGATGCTCAGCACTGCTATAAAATAAAAGGTCCATAAACAACTAAAAAAAAAATTAAAAAAAGAAACATCAATTTGCTCTAATTGCAAATCGATGGAGGACTAATTGTAAAGTTGGAGACTTATACTTTCTGATATCACTACTTCCCTGAAAACTGCAATAATCAAAACAGTGTGATAGTGTCATACAGACAGATATTCTTATAATCTTATAATATTACTGGCATTAATTTTTATTTTTGGTACAGGGATTCAACTCAGGGGCACTCGACCACTGAGCCACATCCTTAGTCCCTTTTTGTATTTTATTTAGAGACAGGGTCTCAATGAATTCCTTAGTGTCTTGCCTTTGCTGAGGCTGGCTTTGAACTTGTGATCCTCCTGTCTTGGCCTACCAAGCTGTTGGGATTATAGGCATGCTCCACTGAGCCTGGCTGACGTTAAATTATTTTGATGCTCAAACAGTACCAGATTTGGCTGGGAAGGTCCTTCAAGTTGGTTTTGTTCATTTGACTCCCTGTTTTTTCATGAGCCCTCCTTTTTTTTTTTTTGGTACTGGGGATTTAACCCAGGGGTGCCTTAACCACTGAGCCACATCTCAGCCTTTATTTTTTTAAATATTTTTAGTTGAAGATGGAACATAACATCTTTATTTATTTTACTGTGGTGCTGAGGATCAAATCCAGTGCCTCACACATGCTAGGCAAGTGCTCTACCATTGAGCCCCAACCCCAACCCTTTATTTTTTATTGAGACATGTGCTAAGTTACTTAGTTGTTTAATTCACAAAAGATGTTACAGACCAGGCCATGGCCCTGGAATGAGCAGTTCTCTATAGAGGTAAAACTGGTTTTAAATACATTTATTTTATTTACTTCTTTTTACGTGGTGTTGAGGATCAAATCCAACACCTCGCTAGGTAAGTGCTCTACTGCTGAGCCACAACCCTAGCCGCAAGAAGCATATTTATTTTTTTTTAGTAAATTTTATTGATTATTTATTTTTAAAAGAAGTAACCATTTTACACAATTTTATATTTGCTTTAATGCCCGTTAATTTCTAGTATCACTTTAAACATTTCCCACAACCCAGAATATTTCATGATACCCTGATCTTGTGATCAAAATTCTCCCCAACCACACTTTTTAATTTTTTCCTCCCAGTGCTAGAGATCAAACTCAGGGCCTCCAGCATGCTAGGAAAGTGCTCTACCGCTGAGCTACACCCCCAACCCTATACTAGTTTTTAAGAACATAAACTAGCGAAAGTGACAAGGAATTAAAGTATTTACATTTTTAAAATGTGGTATTAAAAATATATGTAAAATAAAAAGCATCTGCATATTTTGTATGTGTGAATATTTTATTCTGCTTCCAGATATAAGATACAAACATTTTTTACATGTTATTTTTATTAAAGACACCAAATGTACAGCTAACTGAAATAAAACAGACATGAGATATGATACAAATGAGAAAAGTCTCAAGTTTTAACTTCATTTACCCTATTAGGAACATCACAACTTCTGAAATCAACACTGGCCTTGTGAATCAAGTACTTTTTTCCCATAAGCACTTATCCACTCTTCCAGAAAGCGTATCATGCTTTTGTGCCTAAAGAATCAGTGAAGAAGTAAGCTTTTCCATCTTCCCAAAGCACTAAATGTTACTTGGAATTAGGTCTTTGGACAGAATCCAATATCTGATTTTGTAAAACAATATTTTCCTTTCTAAAGAGTTCTTTTCTGAAAATATATCAAGAAATTATTGAATTAGAAAGCAAATATATGGCATCTCTATATTACAAAGGAAATCAGTGAAGACTTAAAAGTAAGAGCAGCAAGTATTTTTTAAAAAATATCAAATTTTGACATTTGGAGCAATATAATTGCCTTATTATTATTTTAATTTAAAAAAGGCCATTTCCAGCTTGTTTCCAGGCTTCTTTTACTCCTTTAATGCTTTCTTTTTTCACACATTTCCAGTATTCTTGTATACTCTGTTGTTGTGGCACCTGTTGACCAACAGTAAAATATACAGTCATTTTCTTCAAGGATAAACATTATTTCATGTGAGCTTTATGGTTTTGCTTATTTCCTTCCCACACTCCTCCCTAGAAAAACTGAAGGTTTTAATGAAAATCAAATTTACTAATTTTCCACAAACTATGTTTGTTGCAGAAAACTGAGCTTGCTTTTCTAAGTTGTAAATGAATAGCCTTATCTGCAAGAACTTGGACACTGTATATTCTATTATCCTCTTTCTTTCAGCCTAACTACCTCCCTATGTACCATGTAGATTCTCTTTGGAACCTAGTTTTGGAAACCTTTGCAGATATCTTTCATGAGTGCTTCCAGGAGCTATTAATCTAAATAAATTCCAAGTTTATTTTATAGACCAATAGGTGAAGATGAGTGAATAATTATAATAGCTAATATTTATTTCATGTGTCTCAGTTTTGGTGCTAAGTATTTTACACTCAATTCTAATAATTCTTTCTGGTAGATTTTATCAGTATTCTCATTAGACAGATGAGAAATATGAGTGGAGGCTCAGAAAATTAAGTTCTGCAAAATTCAGCATTTAATAAACAATAAAGCTAGATTTGAATCTAAAGAGGTTGTATGACTATAGAGCCCAAAGTCAAATCCTAGGCTATGATTTCTGAATAGTGGTATCTATTAGGTTCAAATTTTTTTTAAAAGCAAAGAAAAATGCTGAAATTCATTTTATGAAAAAGATATTTCAGTGTTTCAACTATAGCTTATAATTGCTTTATAAATGGTTAAAATTCAATTTAAGACTGTAATTTGCCCATTGATAATAACATTATCAATATTAGTAACATGTAACATGTAGTTTTTTAAAAACTCAAAATATGTTACCCATAAACCTCGATGCATCCTGTTTTTTAACACCCCAAGAAACTCTTCATGGCTAAGGCATTCATCATCATCCAAATCAAAGATCTTGAAGACCGTGTCCAAAATATTGTTTGAGAGCTCTTGTCCTGTTGCTACTTTTACAGCTCTCTTAAACTCCGCTTTAAACAAACAAAAAACAACCCATCAAATAGGTGAAACAGTGTAAGTGGAATTAATCTAAATTTTCTTTATATGAGAAGTAAAACAAAATCTAAGGTTTTATTATTTGGGAACTAAAATACAAAAATACTCATAATGAATTTATTCAAATAATGAATTTGGTTTAGAAATGACATAAGAGTAACTGTAAGTCTAAGTAAGATATTTTAATTTAATTGAAATGTTAGCCGCATATTTAAATATTTCCTTTCCTTTTTAGGAGAATGAGAAACAAAAGCAAAACAGTAACTGTTGAATAAATCTTTTGATATTGTAAATCTAGAATAACTATATAGAAATAAAAGGAAAATTATTTTGCTGAAAACTGGTTTCTTGATTGGTATCATCTAGTTGAAAAACAGAAATAGTTTATGGATGATAAAAATTAAATGATTCAGGGGCTGAGGATGTGGCTCAAGTGGTAGCGCGCTCGCTTGGCATGCGTGCGGCCTGGGTTCGATCCTCAGCACCACATACAAAGATGTTGTGTCCGCCTAAAAAATAAATATTAAAAAAAAATGATTCATATATCTTACCTAGTCTGACAGGTCGATTAGCTAAGCTAAACATTTGCATGGCAATAGCAAAGTCTTCCAAGTGGGTTGTAAAATGGCAAAATGACTTGAACTCATCCAAACTAATGCTCTAATAAAAATAAAGAGGTTTTATTACAATTTTATAAAAACATTAAGCAATCTTATGAATATAATTGTGAGTCATCTTTTCTATCATAAAGCTTATAAAGTTAGATCTAAGCAAGCCTATTAAAAAGTTGAAGATGCAGAATAATACTAGAATTAAAGGTTTTAGAATTTAAGAACAGTGTGAGAATAACTAGTAGGGCCACTCTGTGACTGTATAGACTGGAGACTGTGTTAATGGGGTCTCCTCGAGTTATACAGTGTAAACCTTGGGGTGGCCCTGAATTATGGACTGAATTCATATTATGAAGCCTTAATCCCCAATGTAACTTTATTTTGGCGACAGGGCCTGTAAGGAGATGAATATATAATAGGAATTGAGCCCTAATCCAATAAGACTGGTGTCCAATAAGAAGAAGAGATATCAGAGCTCATTCACTCTTGTGAATACTAGGTCTCCTTATGTGTGCACAAAGAAATGGCCATATGAGGACAAAAAGAGATGACGCTGTGAGCAAGCTATTACCAGATAATAGCCCTGCTGGAGTTTTGACTTCCTCTTGAATAGAGAGGAAATACATTTGTATTGTTTAAGCTGCTCAGTTGGTGGTATTTTCTTATGGTAGCTCAAGGAAACTTACACAGTCTGTTAAGTGGCCACTTCTGCTTAGTTTTTTTAGTGAACATAGTACTGAACAAGAGAATTTAGGTTTGGAGATAGACTTAGGTTGAAATTCCAGTTTTGCCACTTACTCTGGTGATCTTAGAGAAAGTTTTAGGTAAGTAATCCTTTAGGAGTTAGGTAATTTGACCAGGTCTATTAAGTGGAACAATTAGATGTGGACCTCTGTCCATCTGACTTCAAAATCTATGTATTTCAAATAAAAACAAAGGTCTGGGGATATGGCTCAGTGGTAGAATGCTTGCCTAACACGTGTATAGCCCTGGATTCCATCTCCAACACTATGAAACAGACAAATAAAAACCCCAAAGAAATCCCTCAAAACAAAACAAAAAAATATTAAAAGATAATTTTTCCATTAAATGTAAAAAGTATAGGGCTGGGGCTGTAGCTCAACGGCAGAGCAGTTGCTTTGCATGTATGAGGCATTGAGTTTGATCCTCAGCCCACATAAAAATAAAGACATTCTGTCCATCTACAACTATAAAAAAATTAAAGTAAAAAGTATAAAAATTCATAACTTAAAAATAACATTTTTCGGGCTGGGGATGTGGCTCAAGCGGTAGCGAGCTCGCCTGGCATGCGTGCGGCCCGGGTTCGATCCTCAGCACCACATACCAACAAAGATGTGTCCGCCGAGAACTAAAAAATAAATATTAAAAAAAAAAATTCTCTCTCTCTCTCCTCTCTCACTCTCTCTTAAAAAAAAAAAAAGTAACATTTTCACTATTTTTAGAAAAGTGAAGGGAACTTGTAGGGAACTTCAGGATGATGTTCTTTGCATATGTGTGGTCTTACTCAAGTTTCTAAAGAAGTAATATGAACGTGTAGCATCCTTAAAGAAAAGAGGGATGGTAAAACACTATGTCCCTTAATGTCCAAATACATAATATCTTGAAGGAAACTGGCTTTTTCTTATGCATACTGAGAACTGGGGCTAAAAGTTAGTGTTATCTGTAGAAAGCTACTTGCCTGCATGTACATCAGGGTAGTTACTCCTTGGGATACTGGTCAAACTAAGTAAGCTAATGCTGATTATGTCACTGCTTCTATACACTAACATATAAACTCCCTGAGTGAGAACTAGTGTAGAACTGAGGGCATTGTGGAAAGGATATGTATTATTCATCCAGCTGGCTGCCACTGGTCAAAAAAGGATGAGGGAGAGGAGAAACTATTTGGCAAAACAATGAGGGACAGAGGTACTATGTGTTCAGCCAATTGCTACTGAACTCTTCTTGAAGCAGTCACTAAACTCTCATAAGCTTTTCACAGTAAAACATATGTCTTGCTGCGCTCTGGGCACTTTCTTTGGCCTTTCTGCAACCTACCCTAATGTTCTGGCTCAATTTGGCTGTGAACATCATAAAAATTCAAGCAGTACAAAGTATAAATAATGAAAAAATTTTGTTACTCTTCTAATCTTCAATTCCTTTTCCCAGAGATAAAGCACTGACACCTGTTCATCCTACCAGAAATATTCTACTTGTATACTATTTCACGTGTACATACACATACACAAAATCTTGTTTTACAGTGGGAACATCCTCTTCACACATTTCTAGACTTTGCTTTATTTTATTAATAGTCTATTAATCAGGGGCTAGGGTTGTGGCTCAGCGGTAGAGCCCTTGCCTAGCACATGTGGGATGCTGGTTTCGATCCTCAGCACCACATAAAAATAAAATAAAGGTATTGTGTCCAACTACAACTAAAACAAAATATTTTTTTAAATAACCAGTTAATTTGTAACTGCAGTAAATCTAGGATGTTCTAAGTAATAAAATCATTCTATTTATAGACCTATTAAAGAAAGAGTGGCCATTATAATATGTATGTATGTATATATATATATATATATATATATGTATGTATATATATATATACACACACACACACATACATATATATATCCCATATATAATATAGATAAGTTTTCTTTGATAGCCATCAACATTAGAAAGCTTTCTTCATTTTTTTTTTTTTGTTTTTAGTTGTAGATGAACACAATACCTTTATTTTTATTTTATTTTTGTGGTGCTGGAGATTGAACTCAGGACCTTGTACCTGCGAGGCAATCACTTACCAAGCTATGTCCCCAGCCCTTTATTTATTTATTTTTTTAATGTGGTGCTGATGATTGAACCCAGTGCCTCATGTGTGCGAGAGAAGTACTCTACCACTGAACTATAACCCCAGCCACTGTTAGATGTATTTCTAATTGTTATATATTTATATTTCAGTTATAATGGGATCTTTTATTATGTTTAATATTTTCTTTCACATTAGAAATAATGTTTTTAAAAAAGTTATATAAAATTATATGTCTGCCGCAAAATAATTTTTGGAACAATACATAAAAGTATTAAGAGAGAAAGTAAAAATCACTTGGAATCTCACTACTGCACAGTAATCATTACTAATAGTTTGGTGGTCATCATTCTATACTTCATACACACACCCCATTACATTTTCTATCTTGAAATTGGTATCTAGGACAGGTACTTCTAATATATTAGCACTGCAATAGGCATTTACTTGAATTATTGTTTCTAATGATTTTTTTGACTGGATTCTCTGGGCACAAAATCACATCAAGTGGAAAGACAACTGTTACCTTCCAATTTTTATACTCTTTAAAAAAATAACCTTACTTATTTGCAATGGCTAAGGTCCTCCAACATATATTTAATAACAGTGGTAAGAGGAGATTCTTGTTCCTAACTTTAGTAGTAATGTAAACTCATGATTACTATACTAATTCTGTCTTAGTAGTTCATTCATAGGAAAACAGTATGTGCAAAATATTCTTCAACTTAATTTTATAGTTCCATAAAAGAACAATCTTGGTTAACTTAGAAGTTACTTTAATAAAAAAGAAAATGCTAACTTATTTCATCTTTATCACATGCAAATGAAAAGGGCATACGAACCTCTCCTGCTGACAACCTCTCTCTAACGTTTTTCCAATAAATGTCTTTATTTTCAGTGTTAGTGAAAAAAAGTAGCCACTCTGCAAAGTCTTCTTTTCTCATGAAACTCAAACCTTTAGAAAACTGAAGGAATTCCATTTCTTGAATCTCTGTTTGTAAATTTTCTGTAAATCTAAATATTAAAATACAAAAAAATTGATAAAAGCAATTAATAGCATTCAACCATAATATTGTAAATAGTACTTCAAAGTGCCTTCATTATTCCCTCCTGATTGACAGGTGTCTTGATATAGTGAGCAGTTATAGTGTTAGTGTTATAAAAAGGGTTGTGGGGAAGAAGATGCAGAGAAGTTGGTAAGGTTCAATGCCTGCTTCATTCAATCTCTGATTTCCCATACTCAATTTATTTGTGTAAATTATATCTGGCAATATACATTTTGTGTGTATGTGTGTGTGTGTGTGTGTGTGTGTGTGTGTTTTAATTAGATGTTGATGGATGTATTCATTCATTTATTTATATGTGGTGCTAAGAATTGAACCCAGTGCCTAGCACATGCTAGGGAAGTGCTCTACCACTTGAGCCACAACCCCAGCCCTGGCAATCTACATTTTGATAAATATTTTAAAATTATGTAAATTGTTTTGATATATCCAAAGAAAATAAAATTCCATGGAAAACAATTTTTCCAATATAGAAACATTATCAATGATCAGACAAGTTTAAGGGGCACTGCTTTTAGAATGTTAATTATAATTAATAGTTTCTAAAATTTTTCAGATATCAAAATTTATACGTAACCAATGGCTTTGAATTGAAAGATCTTCCTAAAGATATCGATAATCTTTTGGACAATAACGTATGTCTATATGATCAACATTCCTTTCTCATAAAAACAACATGGCACATTGATGAAACTTTCATCAATAGCTCCTGGGAAAGGTACAAGTTGAAAGGATATCTGAATAGGACCCAGAAATGCTGCACTTGTTTTATTACTAAATCATGTGAAAAGTATTATTATTTCTATGAATTTTAATATGTTACAGATCTCTTTACTTTTCTACATGTTAAAATTTCTTTACTGTCATGTCACAATTTAAATAAAAATAAATGGGGTGAAAAAAGAGGTACATTCTAATGCAGTGGGAGAAAATTTGTCACTGTAAACAATTATTTGCTTTAAAATTCCCTCCAAACCTTAAAAATTTGTTTTATCTTGGGCTTCTTCCTATGTGGTAGGCAAAAGTCTGTTATCTACATTTTCTGGTAGTAGTGGATATACAAATTTTTAAATGCCATGTTTATTTATGGGTCAAAGCAGAATATTATCTAAAACTGGAAGCATTTCAAGTTTGCACTGATAGATCAGACATGAAGCAAAGAGACCTGTCAGAGGCTGCTGCATTACTAGAGGAAAGGTGATAGTGACTGAATTGTAGTAGTAATGGGTATAGAGAGAAGTAGAAGAATCCAAGAGATTATTGATGAAAAAAGAATTAACAGTATTTGGTGACTGGATAGAGAGAGAGAGAAAGTGCAAGTGAGAGTGATAGAGACACATAGATCAAAGACAACATCTTATTTCTAAATGGAGCTGATGAATGGTATGATACATATTCACTGGTTCTAGTAATAAAAGGGAAGAATACCTATCTCACCTTACAAGGACAGGCAAGATAATATATATAAAATGCTTAGAAAAATGCCACACATGTCATAAGTATTCAACAGTAGCTGCTAACAGTGCTGTAACCATCTTTTCATTTTCCTCATTAATTAAGCCCAGGCAGACTTCACTTTTTGATAGTCTGAGCCACTTTCTTGCTCATATTCTCAGTATGAGCTTTCTTGCTTATGTCCCCTTGGGCTTCTTCAACTGATTTGAAGAACATCATACAATAGCTGCACATATTAGTATCTGTTTAAATTCACGGTCTTCCTCTTTAATGGGGTCCTTCCCTGCTCATTTGCTCCCAAACTTCAACACAGGGAGCACTAAATGATTTTCTGCATTACCAAAATACCTCTTAATCTATGAAAGCATTGATTACAATGCATTTAAATGTTTCTGTATGACCCTATAAGGGACTGTTCCCAATGTTTGAAACATGGCCTGACAAATAGTACATAGTACGCATTCAATAAGTCTTTATTAAACTCCACTGAGTTGAACAAGATGCAAGGCTTGTGTTTCCCAAATCAGTGTTTTCCCTACCATTCTGTACTGCTTTCTGATATCTGTTTTAGGACTTTGGTTAATGGAGTGGCACAAGGAGGCACGTATCTTGTTTTGTATGGAGATACTCTCATTGGGAAGAAGTTAAGCAGGATCCTATATTTAAACATTCATGTGTGTGTATATGTATATGTGTGTGTGTGTGTGTGTGTGTAAATATATATATATATATAATTATTCTCATTCTACAGATAATGAGAAGTTAAATAAGTTGTTTAAGAATAATGTTCATGTAAAGTTTTACTGAAATTTGGACATGTCTGTTTGTTAATGTATTATTTTTGGCTGCTTTCACACTACAAGAGTAGAGTTGTGCAATTGTGACAGAGGCCATATTTACCATTTGGCCCTTTGCAGAAAAAGCTGGCTAGCCCTTGTGCTAGAGAATCAGAGACCATGTGGAGCACAGCTAAATTGTTTCATCAGAGGTAACCTTAGAAGAGATCACTATCAGCTAACCTATCAGCAGACTGCAAAAGAGTAAGTCCAGTCAAGACCAACCTAACCTGGCCCCCACTGGAATTACATCCAACTGACCTGAGGACTAATGCGCATAATAAATGGTCTGTGTTTTAAGATGGGTTGCTTTGTTTTGCATTAAGAATAAACTGACACCAGGGGCATGTCTCTTAGTTGCAAACACAAAATTACTAAAAAGAATTATTATATTCCATAAAACAGATTACTTTTTATAATAGATTAGAATATTTTGAGCATAAGTAACTTTATGCTTCATAGGTTCATTTCTCAGAGACAAAATGCCATTTAGACCCACATAGAGTAGTTTTTGGTCTGCAGTGTTGAGAAATGAATATATTCAGTTTCTTCATTTCTTTTTTTCAATATTTATTTTTTAGTTTTAGATGAACACAATATCTTTATTTTACATTTATGTGGTACTGAGGATCGAACCCATGCATGCTAGGCGAGCACTCTATCACTAAGCCACAACCCCAGCCCCAGTTTCTTCATTTCTTATGCATAACATTTTTTTCCCCTTGTACTGGGGATTGAATTCAGGGGGACTTGAAAACTGAGCCACATCCCCAGCCCTGTTTTGTATTTTATTTAGAGATAGAGTCTCACTGAGTTGCTTAGTGTCTTGCTTTTAACTCATGATGGTCCTGCCTCAGCCTCCCAAGCCCCTGGGATTATAGGCATGTGCCACGGCACTTCATAACATTCTCCTAAATAAATACATTTATATTACCTTCGAAATTCTTTATAGTGAAGTTTTCTTTCTCCTCTTTTTCCAAAGAAGTACATCTGAAGGGTTGTGTTAATTTCAGGTTCTTTCATTACTTGTTCCTATAAAAAATTAAATAATTTCAAATAAATACTCACAAGGACAAAAAATGAAACCTGTAGACTAGAACTCTTGGTATAATGTCCAGAAATGATTCTTGCAGGAAAAAATAAAAGGTGAAAAAGAGCAATGTAGTCATTCCTTCTGTATGTTACTTTGCCTGACATTATTACATTATCATCTTTGTTCAAGCAGGAGAAAAATAGTAAAGACTAGAAATACAAGATGGACTTCATCAGGAAGCAAAATCTTAGATCAGGCCAAAATGGGGGCTTAGAACAGAAAAGTAAATATCATTTCAAAATGTGATGTCTAGACATTTTCTAATATCACTGAAAATTAAAGCAGGAGTCTTTGAGCTTCAGCTGAACCTTAGAAATACTTGCAAACACTTGTTTTTCCTAATTACCAAATCAATAGGTGAAAATTTGAGCTGGGATTGTGGCTCAGAGGAAGAGCACTTGCCCAGCATGCATGGAAGCACTGGGTTCAATCCTTAGCACCACATAAAAATAAAATAAAGATATTGTGTCTACGTATAACTAAAAAATAAATATTAAAAAATAGGTGAAAATTCCATTAAAGGTAATAAATGAAGTAGATTGTGTTATTAAGAAACTGAAGAAGAAAGAAACAAAGGAAAATAAAACCACTAATAAATTTATCAGCAGCAAACAAACACCAAAAGGGGGTACAATTTTAAGTGCTCTTTGGAAACAAGAGCAGTCAGAGAAGGAAACACTAATATCAGGTATAGAATCTCCATCATGTCTCCTAATTCTACCTCTATAACCTACTTCTCATTAATAGAAGAGAACATGAGATTATTGCATTAAAACCTTCAATTCAGCGAAAAGTAGGTTAATGGGGTGAGAAGACAGTCCTCAGATAAGTTAGGGAAAACCTCCAGTAGACAACTCCTACCCAGCTGGGAGTGACTTGAGCAGCATTAGGAAGGGCTTCAAGGGCTTACAAGCTCCTAAATCACTCTGTTTAACTAAGGGAATAAAGTCCTCAGGGCCGAATATGCCTTGGAGGGGTAGAGCAGGTGTTGGATATTTAATGGGATTAGAGAGGACAGAATCTACCCTTTTTAAAATGCCATTATACATGTACTCTTTTTTTTTGCATTACAATTCTTAATACACATATATACAATTTTTTCTCTCTCTGTTTGTATATAAGGTATGTTGACACCAACTTCAAATCTTCTTACATATATTTTATATAATGATGAATCTACCCTTTCATTCAAGCTCTGCATTTGGCTGAGGAAACTCCTCTATCCCTACAGTCTACACATAACAGCTGATCAAAATGCAGTACCTGCAGGCTGGGGGAAAAAGATAAATTAGTTCCAGGTAATATGGGCAAGGTATCAAAGAGAATCTCATCCATGTTCTACCAGAGTATAAGCCTAAGGAAAAACATATGGCATGGCAACTTAGCAAAGGCACTAGAGCAGGAAACAGAAAAAGAACAAATTAGGCAAAAGGTGAAAAAAACTCGCTGTAGATAAGCACACAACCCAAGGAATAAATACATACTTCCCATGCATTTGTTCTCATACTTTTATTAAAAAGTCTTAGCTCTTTATTGAAATTCTAAGTAATGATACACAAAGATCCCTGGTATCATTTATTCAGTTTCTTCTAAGGGTGACATCTTATTTTTTTTTTTTTTTTTGAGAGAGAGAGAGAGAGAGAGAGAGAGAGAGAGAATATTTTAATATTTATTTTTTAGTTTTTTTCGGCGGACACAACCTCTTTGTTTTGTATGTGGTGCTGAGGATTGAACCCGGGCCGCATGCATGCCAGGCGAGCGCGCTACCACTTGAGCCACATCCCCAGCCCCTAAGGGTGACATCTTATAAAACTATAGTAAAATAGCACACCTTCATATAGTCAACAGAGAGACTTTCCTTCCTCACTTAATCTTTTATAGCTTATAGCAACTTCCCTCTAGCTCCACCCTCTAACCTCTAAAAACTTTTTTTTTTTTTTTCTGTTGCTGATGATAGAACTTAGGACCTAGCACAGGTTGGGCAAATGCTCTACCACCGACCTGTAACTCCAGCCTCTCTAGCAGCTATTAATTCCCCATATTTATAATATAATCATTTCAAAAACATTAACAGGTTGGGATAGAACTACTACTTGCCTTGTCTAGCATGCATGAGGCCCTGGCTTTGACTCCCAGCAACAAGAACAAGAAGCTATAATACAGTACATAACGTGAAATGTTGGCCTTTTTTTTTTTTTTTTTTTTTTTTGGTGCTGGGGATTGAATGCATGGTCCTGTGCCCCCCTCCCCCAGCACAATTCTCTGGAGATTATCTAGGTTTTTGCTGGTTTCTTTTAATTGCAGAGTAATATTTCATGGTATGGATTACCATACTTTTTAACCATTCACCTGTTGAAGAACATTTGAATTGTTTCTAATTTTAGACTATTACAAATAAAGCTGCTAAAACATTTGTGTACAGGTTTTGGGTGAACACAGGATTTCATTTTTGTGGAACAAATACTCAGGATTTTTCAGACTGGCAGTATCACTTTACTTTCCCACTAGCAAAAGATAAGTAACCTGCATCTTTGTATTTTTTTTCTCTGCATCTTTACAATCTTTGGTGTTGTCAGCATTTTAACATTTTAGTTATATGGATTAGGTATGTTGTGATAATCTCACTACAGTTTTAACTTGCACTTCCCTAATGATGGTGCTGAGCATCTTCTCATGTTTTGTTTCTGTTCCTGTGTATTCCTTGGAGAAATGTCTATTCAAGTCCTTTGGCTGCTTTTTAATTGGGTTGCTTTTCTGGTATTGAGTTGCAAGAGTTCTTTAAGTATTCTGATACTAGACCCTTATTAGATATATGATTTGCAAGGTTTTATAGGTTGTCTGTTTACACTTCATAGTGTCCTTTGGTGAACAAAACTTTTGATTTTGATGAAGTCCAATATCTTATTTTTTCTTCTGTTTCTTTTTTTTCATTCTTTTTTTTTATATTTATTTTTTAGTTTTCAGTGGACATAGCATCTTTGTTTGTATGTGGTGCTGAGGATCGAAGTCGGGCCGCGCGCGCATGCCAGGCGAGCTCGCCACTGCTTGAGCCACATCCCTAGCTCTTTTTTTCATTCTTAAGCCATTTGTTTGTCTCTCAAAAGATAATTGCAGTTTAATATTAACATATTCTTTTTTCCTACTATACCTAATATCTTAATCTTAATTATTTATTTTAATTAGGTATATATGATAACAGAATGTATTTAATTCATTGTACACAACTGCAGCAAAACTTCTACATTTCTATGGTTGTACACCATAAGGCAACACATCATATGTGCATGTACCTAGGGTAATGATGTCCATCTCTTTCCATCATCTTTCCTGCTCCCATACTCCCTCCCCACCTCTCCCTCCCCTTTGCCCCATCAAAGTTCCTCCATTTTTCCCATGTCCCCCGCCCCCATTATGGATCAGCATCCACTTCAGAGAGAACATTTCGTCTTTGTTGCTTAGGGATTGGCTTACTTCACTTAGCATAATATTCTCCAACTCCATCCATTTACCTGCAAATGCCATTATTCTCTTTTAGTGCTGAGTAATATTCCATTGTGTTTATATAACAGTTTCTTTATCCATTCATCTATTGAAGGGCACCTAGATTGCTTCCGTAGTTCAACTATTATGAATTGAGCTGCTATAAACATTGAGGTGGCTGCATTACTATAGTATGCTGATTTTAAGTCCTTTTGATATAGACCAAGGAGTGGGATAGCTGGGTCAAATGATGGCTCCATTCCAAGCTTTCTAAGGAATCTCCATATTGCTTTCCAGATTGATTGTACCAATTTGAAGTACCACCAGCACTGAATGAGTGTGCCTTTTCCCCCACATCCTCGCCAACATTTATTGTTGTTTGTATTCTTGATAACTGCCATTCTGACTGCCATTTCTGACTGAAATCTTAAGAGTAGTTTTGATTTGCATTTCTCTAATTATTAGAGATGTTAAACATTTTTTCATATTTGTTGATGGAATGTATATCATCTTCTGAGAAGTGCTATTTCTTGTTTTTAATGTCATATCTAAAAAGCCATTGTCAAATTCAATATCATTCCCATATATATATATATATATATTTTTTTTTTTTTTGGGGGGGTGTGGGGATGTGGGGGTGAGGGTGGGGCTGGTAACTGAGAATTGAACTCAGGGGCACTTAACCACTGAGCCATATCCCCAGCCCTATTTTGTATTTTATTTACAGACAAGGTCTCACTGCGTTGCTTAGAGCCTCACTGCCTCAGATCCTCCTGCCTCAGCTTCCCAAGCTGCTGGGATCACAGGCATGCACCACTGTGCCCGGCTCCTGCCTATATTTTAAAGGAATTCCTTAGCTGTAGTCCTTATTTTAAGGTATTTAATCCATCTGAGTTTTCTTTTTTCTTTTTGGTGTGAGGAAGGAGTTCAACTTCAATTTTTTTTCCATATAGATATCCAGGTGTACTAGCTATTGCTGAAGATACTTTATTACTGTTTTAGAATTGTAAATAACATTGTATTTAAAATTTTGGTGTCTAGATATTCATTGCTAGTATACATAAATGTGCTTGATTCTTTATACAGATGGTTTATATCCTGTGAACTTCCTAAAATCAATGATTAGTTACTGTTCTATTTGGTGGGGGGGCATAGGGATAAATTCCTCAGGAGTTTCTAGAGAGACAATGTCATCTACAAGTACAGGTCTTTTATTGTGTTCCCTTATTGTAGTGATTACAACTTCCAGCACTATTATTGTGTAAGAGTCATGAAAATAAATACCCTTCCCTTAGGGGACAGGAAATAAGTTTATCATCATGTTAGTTTTTTTTTTAATTGGTGCTCTTGATCAAGTTGCCTATATAGAATTCCCATTTATATATATATATATATATATATATATATATATATATATATATATATGTGTGTGTGTGTGTGTGTACACACATAGTTTTCA